GGTTCTCTGCCTGAGGGTGCCTTCCAATGCCTCCTGCGCTGCACATCCCTAAGGCATCCTGAGCCGCGCGCTGGGCTCTTCGTCTCTGCCTTCTGACATGCTCTTCTACCCACAGGCAGCTGGGCACAGCCTACGTGAGTGCCACCACAGGCGCTGTGGCCACAGCTCTGGGGCTCAAATCCCTCACCAAGGTAAGGATCCCCACTGACCCCGTTCCTCCTTTATCCAGTGCTTCTACCCGCTTGTCCTCCCGTCCTGGCCTGTGACGCCCCATTCTCCCAAGGGTCCCTCCCACTCATGGTCCTCAGGCCCCTGAATGGTACTTTTCCTCCCCAGCACCTACCCGCCTTGGTTGGCAGATTTGTGCCCTTTGCAGCAGTGGCTGCTGCCAACTGCATCAACATCCCCCTGATGAGGCAGAGGTGAGTGTCCCGGCTCCTGGCATGGCCATGCCCAGTGTGTATGTTTCCTGCCTCGAAGCCGTGCCACCCAGCTCCCCCAGGACAGTCCTCTCCTTCCCTGCCCGGGGGCTGCTGGGCCCCGTCTCAGTCTGAGCCCGTGTTCTGGTTTCCTTTTTTTTTTTGGTACCGGGAATCAAACTCATGACCGCAGGCTTGCCAGGCAAGCGCTTATGCCACTGAGCTATGCCCCCGACACGAGCCTGTGTTCTGGAACAACCCTGTCCCAGCAGATGAGGACCAGCCCCAAGTCACTACGGGGTGGAAATAGGGAGACAGGTCCAGGGTTGAACAGGGTGCAGTTTACTGGGGACTCATGGCAGAAGTGTGGCCCTGGCAGCAGCAGGCTCACTGGATACATGAGACCTGGGTTGGAAGAGGGGGCGTATATAATGGTCAGGACAAAAGTGACTAATGCAAGCCAAAATGTACCTAAGCTGCTACGAAGATCAGGCATGATCTTGATAGTGACTGCGCCTGGGTGTGAGTTGCACAGCCCCGCACCCTCTCCAGTGCCTTTGCTTAGGGTCTGCTGCGGAAATTGCAGGGAAAACTAAGCAGCATTACTCAGGGGCAGTCATGGTGGTCACAGCCCAGGGTGGCTGCGGTCGTGTCCGGCTGAACCTCTGGGCCTGGGATCCTGGGGTGGGAGAACCAGCCTTTGGGTGTAGGATGTGTGAAGGACCCCAGGGAGCAGCTGCCCACTGAGGCTTTGCAGGGGGCACTTGGGGCCTGTGATCTGAGCCCAGACCCCCCCCTCTCCCCAGGGAGCTGCAGGTTGGCATCCCAGTGACCGATGAGGCAGGGCAGAGACTGGGCCACTCAGTCACGGCAGCCAAGCAGGGGATCTTCCAGGTGGTGGTGTCGAGGATCGGGATGGCGATCCCTGCCATGGGTGAGGGTGTGGCTGGTGGATCGGGATGGCGATCCCTGCCATGGGTGAGGATGTGGCTGGTGGCACGTGGGCGGCTTTGAGAGAGGAGGGCTGAGGTTCTCGGGGTTCTGGAATCAGGCAGTAAGATCCTCGGGGAGTGAGAGGAGCTGGGAAGCGGGGGGCCTTCCTCCTTTGGGGTTCTCGACTTTGCTTCACTAACTCCCTCTTCCGCCCCACTCTCCCCTCAGCGGTTCCCCCAGTGATCATGGATGCTTTGGAGAAGAAGGACTTCCTGAAGGTGGGTGACTCACTTTTCCCATCCTGGAAGTTCTGGGGGCAGCAGGGAGTGACAGCTCCCAGCCTGGCCTGAGGCTGAGACTTGCCATCCCTTCTCCCAGCCCTGCACCTCCCTGCACTCAGCGGGAATGAACGGGGCTACAGGGAAGGGCATGGAGGGGGAGGGAGGAAGACAAGGGGCGGAAGGGCTTCTGCCTTGTAGGAACTGGTGTCACACTGGAGGCCTGTGACACAGCAGTGAACTGTCACCGATATGCTTCATGACTTATGCTGTCCCTCACAGTGTCCCCTCCTAACAGAGGTGCACCACACCCACGCACATGGGACAGGGCAGCAAGGTGCAGGGATACGAGCTCTGGCTGTGAAGGCAGCGCAGAACTAGAAAGCCGTAGTCCCTGTCCTCATGAAGTTTATAGTCTAGTGCAGAAACCAATGAACAAAGAAGCAACCAATAAACACAGCATTACGAATTGTGTACGAGCTTCATAGAAAGCCAGTGGGGGAGAGCAGCTTGGGTAGGTGTATCAGAGCAGAGGTCTCTACGGTCCCAAAGGATGAGAAGGAGACAGCCAGGCAAAGAGCACAGAGAAGAGTGTTCCAGTTAGAAAAAGCAGCCAGTGCAAAGGTCCTGAGGCAGGAGCAGGCTTGCACATTTGAATAACAGAATGGTAGTTCTTATGGCTAGAGTGTTTGGCAAGGGACAGTTTCATGCAGCTGGGATGAAAGGAAGTGGGGGTTCAGAGGCCACTTCTTGGAGAAAGCAACTCCTGCAAGAAGTGAGGGAAGAGCAGGGGCCAGGGAGTACCAGGGGAAGCAGCTCTCCTAGGTGAGAATGAGTGGGGGGTGCTGGGAAGTAGTGTAGGCCTGGCTGGAGGGCCCAGCCAGTCGTGGGCTTGGAAGGAGCAAAGAACCATACTTCTCAGGGCTCAAAGGCAGGACTTGGGGGCGGGGCGGCTGGAGGCCTGTGGGTAGCAGGGGTGGGGCTCCGGACGAGGCCCAGAGCCTTCCATTGTCTCTCTGTCTCCCACAGCGCCGTCCTTGGCTGGGGGCGCCCCTGCAGGTGGGGCTGGTGGGCTTCTGGTAAGTGTTCAGGGGCCAGCCGGGGCACGGGGAGCCCCCGTCCGTGGTGCATGTGCTGCCTTTAAGACGATAATGTACACACTCCACTCGTGTGTCCAGCGGGTGTGGGGCACACTGTGTGTGATAGGGGTGACCCCTGGCCTCAAAGGTTGAGTTTAGTTGAAGAGTTCTAGTCTTCACCCACCAGACAACCATGGAAATGTCTCCTTGGTGCCATCCAGAGCCTCCTGTTCACTTAATTCCCGATCCTGCCACTTTCCGGCCGTGGGGCCTTGGATCGGGGATTTGGGGCCTCTTTCCTCAGCCAGAACCTCATGTCGAGACTGAGCTTAACGTTCCCAGAAGGACCTTTGGCCCTCATCAGCCTGCACCCCTAGGGCTGGGAGTGTAGCTCAGAGCTTCTGCTTGCCATACCTGAGGCCCTGGCTTCCGTCCCCAGCACCATAAAAGAAGAAAGAATCCACCTCCACGCCCAGGGCTACCAGTACCTCTGTGGGTGGGGCGCGGGGAGGGCGCTCTTAGGCCAAGGTCTCTCAAAGCTTCGAACACTCCTCTCCCGCAGCCTGGTGTTTGCCACCCCTCTGTGCTGTGCCTTGTTCCCCCAGCGGAGGTGAGTGCTGCCCCTGCTTGGCTGGGAGCGCTGCGCACCCCGGGACCCACGGCCCGTTGGCGTGCTCTGGGGAGGCCCGCGGGCCCTCAGCTGATCGGGGGAGGAGAATGCCAGCGAGCCAGCCCTTCTGGAAGCAGAAGGAGAGGCTTCTTCAGCCTGGGAGGAGCGGGTGCGGGGCCGTCACTGTGCTCTTCTGCCGCAGCTCCATCCGCGTGAGCAGGCTGGAGCCGGAGCTGAGCGCCCAGATCCGTGAGCAAAACCCCAGCATCTCGGAGGTTTACTACAACAAGGGGCTTTGACGAGGACCAGCCCCTTCCTTGTCCGCCTGGACTGCTGGTTAGGCCCACCTTGCTGTCTCCGCCACTTGCCGTCTGCCTGGTACTCTTCAGGGAACTTGGTAGGACAGTCGCCATTGAGACCAGCGATCCACTAAGCTGGACGAGGCACCCTTACGAGGCACCCTTGTACGCCTTTCTCTCCTCTCTGGTTTCAAAAAGCAGAGTTACACAATCCCTCCTGCGCTACCTACATACATACATGATGCATGTATGTGTTTATTCATTGGGTCCAGCCGCAGACGTGCCATCCTGGGATGATCCGATGCCTGGCTTCCCTCCTCAGCCATCAGCAAGCCAGGTTTCCGGCGGGACTTTCTTCCTTAAGGCATTCCCTTGGCCAAGTCACTGCCAACAGCACCTCACCCCTGGACGTGGCGGAGCTCCAGGACAGTAGTGGACCAACCTGGGCTGACTCATTGAGGCTTCTTTTTTTTTTTTGGTTTTTTTTTTTTTTGGTTTTTTTCTCCAGTACCGGGAACCGAACTCACGACCTTGCGCTTGCCAGGCAGGCGCTTTTGCCACTGAGCTAAATCCCCAGCCCCTTCATTCAGGCTTCTGATAGCCTGGCTTCCCAAAGTGGCTGAGGACCAGGGGTGGCAGAGGAAGGCATGTTGGGACCAGGGAGGGGGGGCCTGTGCACTCCTCAGTGCCACCCCCATGTCCTGGAGTAGCTTCGCTTCTTCTGTGCCGAACAGAGCAGCATGTCCTCTTGTCCCCCACACTGCCATGTGCCGTCTCCAGGCACAACCGTAGACGTTCTTGGTCTCCTCTGATTGTGACCTCACGCAGAACCCTGAGAAGCCCAGGTCCTCTCCCAACCAGAAAGCCACACAGGCAGGATGAGCCTCCTGCTGCAGGAGCTGCCGCCACGCTCCCTCCGAGGGACACAGTGGGACGGTGCTAACCCCACAGGCCCCACATGTGTGATCTAAGGCGGATCTGCGTCCCATCAGCCCTTGAGACCTTCCCACAGCCCCTGTCTTTTTTTTTTTTTTTTTTGGTTTTTCTCCAGTACCGGGAACCAAACTCACCACCTTGCGCTTGCCACACAGCCCCTGTCTTAACCTCTTCCCTTCCTTTTCTTTTCTCTCCTCTCCTCGGGTGCTGGGGACAGAATCCAGGGCTTTGCATATGCTAGGCCAGTCCTCTAACACTAAGCCCACCCCCAGTGCATCCTGCTTTTCTGGGCTTGGTCCTTCTCCCTCTGCTGTCTTCTCCAAGAAGAGGGCCCAGGCCTCGGGGGAATAAGCCAAATGGAAGGCGGGGATTTTGCACGGAACAGGAGGTGCTGAATCCCGAGTGTGGATTGGATGATCGCAGCTCCAGCTCCCATGCCCTGTGGCTGAACAGCTGAGTGGGGCAGAGCAGAGGGCCCCTTGGGATCCTGGGAGATCACTTCCCTGCTTCTCTAACGCACTGCCTTGCAGGAGAACAGCTTCCATGCCCTGGTTAGTCAATAAATGGTGCACCTCTTTGTAGATCTGTACTTGTTTCCACTCTCTAAGTGTCAGGAGGAAGTCTGCCTGCAGCTCTCCCAGACCAGGCCCCTATCTGCAGGAGCCTCAGTCCCCGGCAGAGGGTGCTCTGAGCTTAGAAGATCCATCTGGCCAATCTCCCTTTTTATTCCCTCCAAAGATGGGAGTCCTGCCTTCATTTCCCTCTCCAGCAGCTCTGGGCTTTTTGGTTTCCTGCAGAGGGTGCTCTGAGCTTAGAAGATCCATCTGGCCAATCTCCCTTTTTATTCCCTCCAAAGATGGAGCCCTGCCTTCATTTCCCTCTCCAGCAGCTCTGGGCTTTTTGGTTTCCTGCAGGCAAATGGGGTGGGGTGGTCACCTGGGCTTCCCAGGAGGGCCTCTGAAGAGAGGGAGAGGACATGGCCAAGGACTGCCCAACTCCGTCAGAGAGAAGCTTTTAGGGGGTCAGCACCCTCACCCCCATCAGTCCTCAGTTTGCAGGGAAACAGGCCTGCAGGAGCCCCCGACAGTTAGCACTCCCGCCACTCCAGGGTCCTCCCCTCCTTCCATGCTTCGGCAAGCCCCTTCGTTTATTTTTATGAGGTTGAAAGTTCGTGCCTATGGAGAGCTGATAAGAGCTACTATTCTCCAAGGTATCGTTGCCTCTCTTCCCTTAAGTCTTAGCTTTGGTAAACACAAGGCAACTGCACAGAGAGGGTGCAGTAAAATCCACCCCGCTCCCTGCAGGGAAACAGCCCTTCTCGGCCCTCTTCAGCCCAGAGCTGTACTAGGTGGCGGAGAGGAATGTTGGGCTGGCGGTTCCCCAGCAGCCTGAGCGAATCGCTCAGGGTCACTCACTCATTCTGGGGTAAGCAGAAGTTTTCTTGCTGGGGAGCCAGAGCTACGCAGGACCTGTTCCAAGTCCTGCCGTGTGGCGCCAGGCTCAGAGGAGGCGCTCCGGGTCTTCACCACCACACCTGTGGGGCAGGCGTGCCGTGTGCCCGTGCCTTCGTACTGAGCCCAGCGAGCACTGAGCTACATCTCCAGCCTGTTAAGCTTTGTATTTTGAGTCAAGGTCTCTAAATCGTCCAAGCTTGCCTTGAATTTGTGACCCTCCTGCCTCAGCTTCTCAAGTAGCAGGGGTTGCAAGTTCTGCCACCACACCTGGCAGGTCGTGCCCACTGTTAGCAGAGACACTGGCTTGGAACATTAAGAAAGCTGCCCACAGCTTCCCCAGGTGAGGCAGCAGGGTGTGAGCTGAAGCCCGGGGCTCTGAAGCCACCATATCCCCTGTCCACGGCCAGCCGCCAGCCGGGTCACTTTTCTGGTCCCTTTGACATTCCAGGGACCCTCATCCCTGGATCCAGTTTGTTTACAGAACAGCAAAACGAACTGATCCATAGGTATATACAAACCCTTCCCTACGGCCACTAGGGAATTTAGTCCTCAACAGTCTGTAGCTCTCATATAAGCAAAGATTCACTGCCTTGACTGAAGGTGGGACAACCCTTAGCTGACCACCTATCCTGGTGTCAGTTCCAGCCTGTGCTGCCGGTCTGCCCAGTGCCTGGCACCAGCCCTCTGATCAGCACTGAAGCTTCTTCTGCCATAGGTATATACAAACCCTTCCCTACGGCCACTAGGGAATTTAGTCCTCAACAGTCTGTAGCTCTCATATAAGCAAAGATTCACTGCCTTGACTGAAGGTGGGACAACCCTTAGCTGACCACCTATCCTGGTGTCAGTTCCAGCCTGTGCTGCCGGTCTGCCCAGTGCCTGGCACCAGCCCTCTGATCAGCACTGAAGCTTCTTCTGCAGTGAAGCTTTGGCCTTTGGGAACCTCTTTCGCTCTCCCTGGAGAATCTATGTAGGGTGAACCCACTTATGCAGTGAGGTGCAGGAGTCTCGGCAAAGCAAACCCAGGTTGGTGTATAACAGAATCACTGATGTCCTGGAGATAATGCTAAGCCACGTGGAGAGAGCTGGCAGGGCTCAGCAGACCAGCCACTCTTCCTGTCCCTCTCAGCTTCGCAGAGCTCCCGGCCCCTGTTCTAAGGGGGGAAATAGCTGGGGTCCTGGAGCACTGACCAGTCTTTGGGCCAGCTTGAGTTCTGATCCTGTGTGTGTGTTGGGTGGATGGGGTGGTGCCAGTCAGACTCTAGTCCCTCCTAGACCCCTGCCTTATGGGTCAGAAAAGCAAAACCCCTTTTCTTCTCAGTTAGGACATGAGCTTCAAGCCCCGCCCCGGAGCCGATCAGTCGCAGGCAAGCCGCACCTCCCGGGGAGGTGTAGCCTGAGGGGGAAGTCCCGCCCTTTGCTGTGGGTCCTGTCACTCTAAACTAAGCTCTGCTCCGGCTCCTTCCCGTTTCCTGGGCAACGGCTATAAAGCTACCGGCCGCTAGGCCAGCTAGGCCGACTCTCCCTGGGTCCGCGCCTGAGACCTGAGCTTCTTTTTTTTTTTTGAGACCCGCGCTTCTGATCCTCTTCTTCTCTTACTTAGATCCTAGACGGCGAAATCCCCCAAAACCCCTCCCTCCTTTCCGAATTCAAAACCCAATAGCTGGGGCTGGGGATTTAGCTCAGCGGCAAAGCGCCTGCCTGGCAAGCGCAAGGTCGTGAGTTCGGTTCCCGGTACCGGAGAAAAACCAAAAAAAA